CTTCCATTTCTGTTGCAAAAAGTCAGCTACGAATGCCACCAAATCATGTTTATAACTTTAGGTACTAATGTTGTATCATATGGCACTGTGAAGGTTTAGTACCAAAAGTTCAAAAACAAGGACTGTGCTATTCAAGAAGCAGAAGGTTTCAAAGTGAGTGACAGAGCTGAATGTTTCACAGAAATCATAACCTTCCTTTTCGGAAAAACCTTTGGCCAAAAGACAGGTTTTTAACTTATCAGTTTTTTCATTTGCATGATTTATATACACATGTATTTACAATGCTTTCTCTGGTACTTCTGCCAGGTAGCATGTCTCATTTTCTGATAAAGATTTTTGTTCATCTTCAATTGCATCATGGCACTTATTCACATGCTCGGACTTCATTGCTATTAAAATTACCATTAAGTAATTTTCAGTTTACATTCCACAACACAGCATTTCAGATGTTCAGGTGGTTTTATTTCTTCTAATTTTCTCAGTTATTGAAAACACTGTGTATTTTCACATTTGGATCAAACTCGCGCATAATATTGTCTGCAAATAAGATTATTTAGCACCTTGTTCCTGAAGGATAGTTGTTGATTTGACTTCAATAGCCATTGATCCTAAGACCAAAACAGGGACAAAAAAAAGTCCTTTGATTTTCTCTATCCTTCATGTACTTTTGAACTATGACCATTAGCTTTATCTAAATATCCAACTACAATACCTTTACAACTGATCCCTCAAGTCCCAATTCTTTAGCTACTGTTTAGGTGTGCATACATTCTCTGCCAGTGGTTCTCGGATGATTAGTTCATAGTCTTTTTCTCATCTGCTGATGTTCCAGCATGATGCAGCATGTGCACCACTGTACTGACAATTTTGGCCAATAGTGGCTTTGCATTAGAAAATACAATTAATCTTCCTAAATCAGCAGGTGCCTTTATTTGTTCAGCTGTCCATTTTGTTGTGGTGTATAGGGAGCACTGTAATGACATTTTACACTCATTCTCTTCAGAAGACCATTTAAATGTTGTTTTTATGCTCCTGTCCAAAATCATTCAGAACTACATTTAACTGGTGCTGCCCAGACGAGGAAGTGGTTAGTGACTCTGACTGCTATATTCAAGGGCCTGGGTTCAAATCCTGGAGAAGATAGGGATGTAATTTATCTGTCCCTTCATTGGAGGCAGTGATGGCCCTACTATTAGGTACCTCCGTAATAGAGACAACTACTTCCTGCCTTAAGTAGTGGCCAACGCCAATAAACAACTAAAATCTGTCGGGCTTTTATTTGGCTTTTTTTGTTTGATTCTTGAAGAAAACAAGTTTCATGAATGTAATTCTGTTAGTTATGTGTTCTGTAGTTCTAGCATCACTGCTTAATTTTCTGTTACAGCATTAATACTAATTTTCTGAAATTTTCAATCCTTTTTATATGCCCCCCCACACATATACCTAAAATATGTGTATTGCTTCTCTTGTTTATTTACAGTTATGTGATTTTGGTGCATGATTTCTTCCTGAATTATAAGTTTGGCTTTACTCAAAATTAGCTATGAAAGCATATTTTTGCTGAAGGATTCTAATGATCTTCAGTCTTATAAAATTAAAAGATTCTTTAGTTCTTCCTGCTCTTCTGATCATGTATACTAAGTCATTTTTAGATGTTTACAATAATTTCATAGCATTTTTGATGCTGTGAACCATTAAACTCAATGAATTTATCACTTGATGCAAAATTCATTGAGTTTAATGGATAAGTCACATATGTACTGAGGAACACTAATTTTACTATGCACAGTCACTGTAACAATTAATGTAATTTTAAGTATATTTCTTGGCACATTGGTAGTGGTTAAAAAATTCTGTTGCTTGATCAAGTCATTTTTCATATTAATTAAAGTATCATCAGCAACTTGCTCTGGTTAATGACCTTGCCAGAAAACACTCTAAATTCACTTACTTTTTCGTAAGTAAATCTTTATTCATCCACATCCATCTGAGCCAGTTTTCTGAGTCAAGAAGTTTCATCTATTGTAAATAATTCTGTAATTTTTATTAAAGGGCATTAACTGTTGGGATTAGGGTTAACTGCAGATCCGAACATGTTAACCAGTATGTAACAACATATAACTTATGCCAGTATCTACATCTCTTGTTAAAATGTGTGATTGAGTCCCCAGAGCCTTTTCAAATAATTGCTATTGAATGTTTAACTAGGTAACAATTTAAGAGAGTTTAATTTAAAATTACTAACATACGCAAAAATGTGATTATATATCATAAGCAGCACATGCACACAGTCTTATGGTATGACAACTGAGCTGTTGCCAGAATCAAAAAAGAAAAATTACACAAAAGAAAATTATATAAATTTAGGTCAGAAAAGTGTGAAATAATAAAAATTGTTGTTAATGTTTTCAACAACTTTAAATTTTATTTTCTGTTTGGAGAGCACCTTGGCATAAAAATATTTTAAAATTAAGAGATGGGAAAATAGTTCAATGTATTAAAACACTGGTTTGAATTACTAGGCTACCATATTTTGGAACTGATGATAATGATATTGAAAATCTGGATACTGATAATTAACTTGCCAAAGACTGTGAAATGTGTGTTGGGCGAAAAAATATGCACATCTTCAACATCAAATTTATTTTACTTGTCTCAGGTAGCTGAATGTGTAATAAACTCTTTTTAATTGGCAGACTTTCAAATTTCCTGCTGATTTTCACCATTGTCATCTCTATTATCATTGTTATAAAAGAAAGAAAAAGTACCATTTTAAAATAAATATGAGTAATTTTTAAACATCCATAATATATGTGGAAGATTCTTATTGGTGTATTTTCAGTCACTTCTTTTATATAGATTATTCATATCAGTTTTTAAAAAAGGTAAATGAAAAACTTTTTTGCAATAATTATATACCATTTATTATTATTGGCAGGTCTTTCTCAATTGAGGTATTCATATATGTTTGCTAATATTGATGTCTTTAACATAAGATGAATTGGTGCTTACCATATATACTCACGTATAAGTCGACTTATACGCGGGTATATACGGTATATCTTGCCTTTTTGTGAATATGCCATTAACAGTCTTTAATTTACCAAATAATGAGGTGAATGCCATGTAATATCTTCACATCCAAAGTCACAGACAAGACAGGACCAGTATGGTTCCTGCTAAGCCTGAACCTACCACTGAATAAACGATGGTTCTAGTCCTGTGTTATTTACCCAAGAGGCTGAAGCTGTCTAGATATAGCTCTAGTCAGTTGTCTGGAAGAACCCCAGGTCTCCTCCCATAAAAGGTCAGTTCGGAAATTCCACCCAGTCAGACCCCAGGGATGGTTGTCCAAAATCATTAGCCTAGGCGAACCTGGTTATTGGCAGACGCCATGAGGAGGCCAGTGTTGGACAGGGGCAGGAGAGGCTATAAGGGAGCGTGTCGCTGCCCGACAGCTGCACCCACTCTCAGAAAGTCCAGATCAAACCCCGGGTCTCCTCCCATAAAATGGTCGGTTCCGGAGATCCAATTCTTTCAAACTTCAAGGGAGTAACAACCCCCCCCCCTGCCAGGTGAATGCCATCATGTTTTCAAGAAAGAGGTCTTTTACCTGACAAAAGAGTTTACGGAAATGGATACAATAAGAAAGTATATGTTAATGATGAAACCATTTGTAGGTGCAATGTTAAAAATTGTAAAAGAAAGAAGGATCTCCGTGCTGGAAATTGGTTTCAGTGGTTCAAGATTATCATTTGTATCTGCTATTAGGTTTATGTATTCTTGGGCAGAGGAGTTGACATCCATCAAATTATGTGACAAACAGCTGAATATATGCGAAAATATTGAAATTGATTGGAACAGTTACATGCAGGAAATGTGTTCCCTATATCTAATGCATAGATTCACTGGATGAATAGGCGGTCCTAAAACAGAGCAACATGAAAAAACTGTTACAATCATTTTACTGTGAACCAACCATAAATATAATGTTGTTAATCCAGAATGGGTGTTCACACCCAGAATGTGGGGTTCAGCCTACTGGCATAATAAAAAACAGAGCACATCTTGACATCCCCTCGAATCATATTTTTCAGAATTAATGTGGAGAAAGTACTTAGGAAAAATGATGTTTTTGCGAAATTGCTAAGTGCAGTTCCCCCATATGTTCTAGTACACGCATGTTACTTCTGGTAGAGACTATTTTCCTGCTATTGTGCCATGTATAATTTATTTCTTAGAAGTGTTGCATCAGCCCACCATAGAATAAAGGTTACTTTTAGTCCAAAGGAGCAATTTGCCCTGAAGGACTATTGATCTTGTTTTGGCATTTTGAATCGAAAACTTTAAACTGTATCAGTTTTCAAATCGTTGCCACCATATATTATCGCTCTGTCTTATAGTTAAAGAAATTAAATAATGAAGAATCTGCATAAATGTATGTATGTTTCTCGCATTGTGATAAAACAACGGTATCTAGAACCATCAAAAGAGTATTAGTGTTGTTATTGTATATTGTGCTGTTTATTTTTGTCTTAGTGCTTCACATATCTCGATTGATTAATGATTAAATCTTGAGGGCCGCTATAATAAGGAAGTACCAATTAATCCTGTGTCAGAAAATTAAATTAGAATAACGTAATTGAAAATTCAGTAATGTTATTGAATTGTATTTTTATAAGAATTTTGAAATGTGTATGTCTTTAAAAAAAATTTCTGTAGTAGTATAAAGGAAAGGTATCAATACTGGGATACTCCCAATATAATTTTAAATGCAAAGTATTTCAGAATACTTATACTGTATAAATTTTATAAGTCTGTTAATATTTATTATATAAACTTTTAAAGTTACTGATTGCAGACCAGAATTTTCTTTATCAAGAGCGATGAAGAAAATATTTCTTAATGATGAAGAAAAAATCTTATTTTATAATTTTAATGATTGCATAAGAAGATTCATAATATTTTACTATTATAATTATTTATTTCTCTATTTTCAGATGTGTGGTTTATCTGTTTACATGTATAACATCAGTGGAGGAAGAGACACTATTTTATTGTGTGTTTAATTACAAAGAAACATGTTTTAACATGAAGAATCATCTGTTATCTTTTTGTTATCATCACTTGTTAGCTGTCGTTTTTATCCATACTAATGTCTTCTGCCATTCAATTTTTTTCCATTGTTGTTATATTTGGTACTCCATATTAGTAATATTTTCACTTGACTTAATTGCCTAAAACATATAGGCATGTGAGTTTGATATCGCATTTATATAGTGTTTTGCAATGCAATATAGTGAACTAACAAAATTCTTTATACCTGTTATTTTAAAGAGGAATATTTTTGTTAATTTGAAACCCATAAAAGTTCATAATTGCATTGTATTAAAAAAAGAATAAATTGTCCTGTACTACTTAATGATGTAATAAATTATGAAGTTTGATGTTTAAGTGCTTTATGCAAATAAATGCTTACAGTTAAATTTTTCTGTTAATGTGCATGTGGGTATAATGAATTATTCAATTTCTAAATTGCTTTATTGTCAGCTACTTCCCCCCCCTTCTGAAAGATAAATACCATGTATGTATGAGAGATAGAGTCAAAAATAAACCAGGATTTATCATTCATGAAAATAGTGAAATTTATTTTTCATAGAAGTTCTTGTACCATTTCACCTGCTAGGTATGCAGGGTGTTTCCTTCATCTTGCATACCTTTATTCTTGTACTTTAACAAAATTTCAAATCAATGTTAACTCTTCTGCTTATGTTCCATCATCATTTAAAAAATAATTTTGCCATTTTCTGTTAATTGAAGATTTGTTGTGTGTAATATCTGAGTTAATTGTAGTTTCATAAATAAGTTTTAGACTTTAGTAAATACACTATTTTCAGCTTCTTAAATATTAAGAGCTATGCTTTATTGAATAATGCGAACTTCAATTTATTTTTGTCTCATTATTTCATTTTCACCTCATTATCATTTACTTGTCATCTTTATTATCAGCTTAGAATATTCAATCTGTATTGTTATAAATCAGAATGTTAAATCTGGTTAAATCTCATCATTTAATAATCAAATTTTATTTGTTTTGGCAGTGTTTGTAATGACAAAGTAAGCCAGCAAAATTTCATTTATTTTTGATGAGAAAATAATATTAGAATAATAATGGTCAATAAAATTAAGTTTTTTAATTATTAAGATAAAAATAGTTGTCAAGTTTGCATAACTTTTTATTTGAATATGTGAGTATCTCAGTGTAAAATGAAGATTAAAACATGAATGATTTAAAAATTATTATAATTCCTTATTAATATAAAATGTAATTTCATATACAAACAACACAAAAGAATAATTTTACAACATAAAAAGGAGCACACTGTGGATTGTATTCTCTCAAGTATTTCAAAATTTTTATTAAAAATAAATGCATTGTCTTTGCTTACTTATTTGAATTGAGTATCGTGTGTGGTTAGAAATGCTATCACAGTATTATTTTTATCATCCTGTTCCCCAAAAAGTGGGTAATCATATAGTATGTGATCTACCACTTTTACTTACTTCGTAGATGGTGGCACTAAAATGATATTTTTAAATTTGAGCCTGCAATAAAATGGCAGGGGGGGAAGAAATTATTAAAACAACAGTCAGTTTTAGTGAGACCATCTGAAAATGACTAAAAGTGGTAGATTGTATACTACATGATAATCAAAAAGTATATTGTATAGATAATAAGAAATTTCCTCATTGAACATAATTACTTTAATCTCAATAGAAAGGTGAATTAAAAATTAAATTCTAGAACTATTTTATGAAATGCTTTATACTAAGGATATGAAAATTTAGTGTATGGCAGCAGAGGAGTGCAAAAAAATTATATTCTGGTATAGACGAAAATCTAATAATTTTTTTTAAAACCCAAATTCTTTTTGCTTTTAATATTGGCATTTTTGAAGCAAGTAGCAGGGAACTGTATCATAATCAAATAAATTAAAACTAAGATGAAAATTTTAACAGTATTTAAATAACACCTTAACTGTTGCTTTAACCGGCAACCAAGTCAGTTTTCTTGTACTAAATGCAGTCATCCTGCATATTAAGTTGTATCAAATTATTGCTATTGATAGTGCATGGTACTGTTGTAACTGCAGAAGTACAAATATGTAAGTAGGCATGATGAAACAGGCAGTTTTCTCTTTAATATTTGAAAATTATAAAGAAGTTAAAAATGTAAACAAAAAGAACATATCAAAGGAAATTAATTGGAAAAAAACAGGAAAAAATATACCATAAGAAAAAAGAGCCAGTAACAATTCTGATGTCTTTGTGCATTTTTCTTTGGCTGTTGATAAGAAAAAGGATGATATTTGCATATTATCTCATCCTTATGAAATTCTTAATGATGGTTATTGTATTTGATTTCTAATATGATAGGATATGCTTTAAAAACCATTGAAAGGTAAAATATAACTAGATATAATTTTAAGGAAAAAATTAATAATAAATGTAAATTAATCATTATATTATCAAATAGTTAAATGATGAAAATTAAAGTTCCATTAGTCATAGTTTTGTATGTAGATTCAATAGAAACGTGCTAACATAACATCTGATTGTCATTTTCGTCATTCAATTTCACATTTATAATACAAGTAGATATTTTCATTTTCAATCCCTTCAACCATATATACATGGCTTTTGAAAACACTTTTTAGTGAGAAATGTATTTTGTATCGCTGTTGTTTGTTTGATTTCAGGTACAACACCTTGCTTGTGGTTATTTTTGCTTTGCTTTTCCAGTGATATGATTTCTTCTTGAAAATAATATCTGGCATCTTCCTTCATTGTTGGTAAATTTCAGATTTAAATTTTTCCTCCTTATGCTGATGAATGATAGAAATGTAAATTATAGCAAAGGGTTTATTGAGGGAATTAAAATAAAGAATTGCTAGAAGTTCTTTCCCTATGTAGTAGTTAAGTACACAATCATGGGCACAAAATATTGAATCAAAGGCACAATGTTTTTCTTTATATGATAAAATAGATAGACCAGAACTACTTCTAAGTCGAGATCTTCAAAATCCATACTTATTGCTTTTTATGTATCCTATTTACTTAAAAATAAGATGAATAAAAGTGAGGTAGATATTTATCTTGTCTTGCAGTAATTCTGGGAAACAAAATCTTGTAACTACCTATGTGATTTATTTAGCATTCAATCTGTATAATTATTATATGTAGCATGATAATTAAGCTCCTCCTTTCCTTCTGCAATTTCATTCATCAAAAAGCATAAAGGTATAAGAAATCCTACCAAATTGTAGTGCCAAAATAGGGGTTCATACTTTCAAGCAAGTATAATGTAGTGCATCAAATAATATTCTACTTTAAACATTGTTAATTGATATCGCATAGAATGAATAAATATGTTATTTATATAGCTTCATAATAGTGCTAAAGAAACCTTTTATTGTTATTGTTTGTGGAACAATAGTGCTGGTTTGCTACTGATGGGTCTATCCATGCTCAGTCAGCTTAGTATAAACCACTAATGCTGAATATTAGATTTAATAGTAAACTGTATGTGTTATAACCCAAAAAGAAAAGAGAAAATGCTGTTTTATTCTACTATCTTTGAATCTGATTGTAAACTGATTTATAAGACCATTACAAGCCCCCCCCCAAAAAAAAATGGTGAGGGCACAATCTATGTGAGGCGTCCAGTGTGTGGCCTGCCCGCACACTGCATGCCATAGATTGTGCAGTTTTTTTAAATGTGGAGAACATTCATTGAATGAGCAAAACGAATGGGGAAGTTACTAAAAGAAGTAAAAATAAAATCTGTATAGAAAAGTTAAATTATATATATATGTATTGATATAAAATGTACTGTAATTTGCTTTCAAGCATATTTCCTTGTATTTAAATATATACGAGGGCTATCCAGAAAGTAGATTACGTTTTGGAATAAAAAAATAAAAGTATAGGAAACAAATTTTATTATATACAGATGAAAGCCACACTCAAATACTACTTTTCTACATATTCACCATACAAATTAAGGCATTTATCGTAGCGATGTACGAGCTTGGAAATTCCTTCGTCGAAAAATTCGGCCGCCTGCGCCTTCAACCACTTCGTTACCTCTTCTTGCAGCTGTGCGTCGTCATCAAAACGCTGCATAGCCAGCCACTTCTTCATTGCTGGGAATAGGTGGAAGTCGCTCGGTGCCAGGTCGGGACTGTACGGCGGATGAGGAAACAACTCCCACTTAAAAGATTCAAGAACTTTACGAGTGACATTGCCGTGTGGGGCCGGTTGCGTTGTCGTGAATCAACAAGATCTTAGAGCTCAACATTCCTCTGCGCTTGTTTTGAATTGCTCTTCTGAGTTTTTGGAGAGTTTGGCAATACCTTTGAGAGTTTATTGTAGTGCCTCTTTCCAGGAAGTCCACCAAAATTACACCTTTTCTGTCCCAAAAAACAGTCGCCATCATCTTCCTTGCCGACATTGTTTGCATGCATTTCTTGGGTTTTTGGGGAGAACTTGTGTGCCCCCACTGCATTGATTGCAATTTCGTTTCACAGTTCACATGTTTCACCCATGTTTCGTCACCAGTAACGATGCGATCGAGTAAAGAGTCACCATCCTTATGGTAAGCGTCCAAAAAGTTCAACGCTGCAGCCATTCGCTGATTTTTGTGGTCCTCTGTCAAGATTTTTGGAATCCATCTTGCACAAAACTTGTGGTAACCAAGCTTTTCGCTGATGATTTCGTGCAACAAACTTCGCGAAAATTTGTGGAAAACTCAAAGAAAGCTCCGTTATTGTGAAATTTCGATTTTCACGGACTTTAGCATCGACTTTTTCGAGAAGTTCGGCGGTCACTATGCTGGGTCTCCCACTTCGATCTTCGTCGTGAAACATTGGTTCGGCCATTTTGAAATCTTATGACCCACTGACGCACTCCACCTTCAGTGATAATGTTGTCCCCATACACTTCACGAAGCTGCCGATAGATTTCTATCGGTTTACAGTTTTTTGCAGTCAGAAACCTTATTACTGAGCGCACCTCGCAGCTCGCGGGATTTTCAATTAACGCAGACATTTCAAACCGTCACAGTATCTGAACGGAGCACAGCACGAACCTCTCACTAGCACGGCTAGATGCAGACTGAGCTGCGCAACGCTCTGACCCCAAGATGGCCGCGCTAGCCCCGCCCCTAGCGGACACAGACGGAAATGTAATCTACTTCCTGGATGGCCCTCGTATATAATTATTGCTGTGAACTAATTTGCAGTATCATTCAAATTCAGAGAGCATAATGTAAAAAACTGGGAATGTAAATGGTATTGCTAATTTAATTCATGAAAATTTGAATATTTAAAATTAACTATTGTAATTAAAACAAGATATAAGTTTTTTTTATTTTATTTTATTTTATTTACTACCAGGAAACTAAAGAAAGCCAAATTATTAGAACATGAAAATGTCATTACCAGTAATTTGAAAAGAGAAATCAAACTAGGTAATTAGTGCTAAAAGCTGCTAAGTACAAACATAAGAA